GTAGCTTCACTAGACAAGGTTACATGAGCATGTTTAATAGCTTCACTAGACAAGGTTATATGAGCATGTTTAATAGCTTCATTAGACAAGGTTACATGAGCATGTTTAGTAGCTTCACTAGACAAGGTTACATGAGCATGTTTAGTAGCTTCACTAGACATGGTTACATGAGCATGTTTAGTAGCTTCACTAGACAAGGTTATATGAGTATGTTTAGTAGCTTCACTAGACAAGGTTACATGAGCATGTTTAGTAGCTTCACTAGACAAGGTTACATGAGCATGTTTAGTAGCTTCACTAGACAAGGTTACATGAGCATGTTTAGTAGCTTCACTAGACAAGGTTATATGGGCATGTTTAATAGCTTCACTAGACAAGGTTACATGAGCATGTTTAATAGCTTCTCTTGACAAGGTTACATGAGCATGTTTAGTAGCTTCACTAGACATGGTTACATGAGCATGTTTAGTAGCTTCACTAGACAGGGTTACATGGGCATGTTTAGTAGCTTCACTAGACAAGGTTATATGGGCATGTTTAATAGCTTCACTAGACAAGGTTATATGGGCATGTTTAATAGCTTCTCTAGACAAGGTTACATGAGCATGTTTAGTAGCTTCACTAGACATGGTTACATGAGCATGTTTAGTAGCTTCACTAGACAGGGTTACATGAGCATGTTTAGTAGCTTCACTAGACAGGGTTACATGAGAATGTTTAGTAGCTTCTCTAGACAAGATTACATGAGCATGTTTAGTAGTTTCACTAGACAAGGTTACATGAGCATGTTTAATAGCTTCACTAGACAAGGTTATATGAGCATGTTTAATAGCTTCACTAGACAAGGTTACATGAGCATGTTTAGTAGCTTCACTAGACAATGTTATATGAGCATGTTTAGTAGCTTCTCTAGACAAGGTTACATGAGCATGTTTAGTAGCTTCTCTTGACAAGGTTACATGAGCATGTTTAGTAGCTTCACTAGACATGGTTACATGAGCATGTTT